TTTATTGTTGAGTTTTAAATGTGTGTTGTTTTGGGGTTTTTTTTTTGGCATATTTGGGGTAACAGTCCTTCATCAAATGTCTTTTACAAATATTTTCTCCCAATCTATGGCTTGTCTTTTCATTCTCTTGACAGTGCCTGTTATGAAGCAGAAAATTTTAATTTTAATAAAATCCAGCTTATTGATCATTTCTTTCATGGATCATACTTTGGTGTTGTATCTAAAATGTCTTCACCAAACCCAAGGTCATCCAGATTTTCTGTTATCTTCTAAAAGTTTTATAGTTTTGCATTTTACATTTAGGTCTGTGACCCGCTTTTAGATAACTTTTTTGAAGGGTGGATCTGTGCCTAGATTCATGTGATGTCCAGTTGTTCCAGCTCCATTTGCTGAAAAGAGTGTTTTTTTCTTCATTGTATTGCTCCTTTGCCAGAGATCAGTTGACTATATTCATGTGGGTCTATTTCTGGTCTTTCTATTCTATTCATTGACTTCTTTATTCTTTCACCAACACTACACTGTCTTAATTACTGTAGCTTTATGTTAAGTTTGAAGTCAGATGGTGTCAGTCCTCCAACTTTGTTCTTTTCTCTCCATATTGCATTAGCTATTCTGAGTCTTTGTCTTTTGCTCGTTTATATAAACTTTAGAATCAGTTTATTAGTCTCTACATAATAATTTGATGGAATTTTAATTGAGGATGTACTGAATCTACAAATCAAGTTGTAAAAGAGCTGACACCTTGACAATATTGTTTTCCTATGAGCATGAAATATATCTCCATTTATTTAGTTCTTCTGATTTCTTTCATTAAAGTTTTGTAGTTATCCTCATATAAATCTTGTACATATTTTTTCAGCTTTATAACTAAGTATTTTATATTTGGGGGCATTAATGTAAATAATATTGTTTTTAATTTCAAATTCCACTTGTTTTGTTGCTGGAATATAGGAAAGCAATTGACTTTTGTTTACAAACTTGCCAAAATCACTTATTAGTTCCAGGAGATTTTTTGTTGCTGTTGTTGATTCTTTCAGATTTTCTTTATAGACAATTACGCCATCTGCAAACATAGAATTTCATTTCTTCCTTTATAATCTGTATACATTTTATTTCCTTTTCTGGTCTTATTACATTAGCTAGCACTTCCAGTGTGATGTTGAAAAGCAGTGGTAAGAGAGAACATCCTTGCCTTATTCCTGATCTGAGTGAGAAAGCTATGAATTTTCACCTTTAAGTATAACATTAGCTATAGGCTTTTTATAGATATTCTCTGTCAGGTTGAGGAAGTTCTCCTCTACTCCTAGTTTACTGAGAGTTTTTATCATGAATGTATGTTAAATTTTGGCATGTTTTTTCTAAATCTGTTGATATGATGGTGTGGCTTTTCTTCTTTAGCCTATTGATGGGATGAATTATATTAATTGATTTTTGAAAGTTGAACCAGCCTTGAATACCTGGGATAAATCCCACTTAGTTTTTATTATATAATTCTTTGTATATATTGTTGAATTTGATTTGTCAATATTTTATTGAGGATATTTGTGTCTATGTTCATGAGAGATATTGGTCTGTAGTCTTCTTTTATTGTAATGTTTTTGTGATTTCGATATGAGAGTAATGTTGGCCTCATAGAGTGAGTGAAGCAGTATGCCCTCTGCTTCTATCTTCTGAAAGAGACTATAGAAAATTGAGATAATTTTTTTCCTTAAGTGTTTGGTAGAATTCACTAGCTAATCCATCTGAAACTGGTGCTTTCTATTTTGGAAGATAATTGTTGATTTAATTTCTTTAATAGATATAGGCCTATTCAGCTGGTCTATATCTTGTGTGAGTTTTGGCAGATTGCGTTGTTCAAGGAATTAGTCCATTTAGGTCATCAAAATTGTCGGCATAGAGCTAGCTATTCATAGTATTTCCCGATTATCCTTTTAATGTCCATAGGACCTATAGTAATGTTTTCTCTTTCATTTCTAATATTAGTAATTTGTGGATTTTTTTCTTAGTTAGCTGGGCTAGAAGCTTATCAGTTTTAATGACCTTTTCAAAGAACTAGATTTTGGTTTCATTATTATTATTTGGCGGGAGGGGGGACCTGTTACCTGTTTAATTATTTAAGAATAATATGTTTTTAGTTTATTTTCACTTATTCCCTCTTTGCTGTTCTCCTCTTCCTTACTTTATGTAGATCCAAGTTCCTGACATACATCATTTTCTCTCTCCATAAAGAACTTTTAAAATTTCTTGTAAAGCAAATCTACTGGAAATATATTTTCTCCATTTTTGTTTGTCTGAGAAAGTCTTTATTTCCCCCTTCACTTCTGAAGTAAAATTTTACAGGGTACAGAATTTTAGGTTGGTGGAGGTTTTTTCTCTCAATAAGTTAAATATTTCACTGTACTCTTTTCCTGGTTGCATAATTTCTGATGAGAAGTCAGACATAATTCTTATCTTTGCTGTTACACAGGTAAAGTGGGTTTTTTTCAGAATTTTTTCTTAATCTTTGATTTTTGTAGTTTGAAAATTGTATGCCTAGTTCTGGCTTTGCTGTTGTTGTTACTGTTGTTTGGTTTTGTTTTTTTGGTTTTTTTTTCCGTTTATCCTGTTCGGTGTTCTCTGAGCCTCCTGGATCTGTGGTTTGGTGTCTGACGTTCATTTGGAGAAATTTTCAGTCATTATTGTTTAAAGTATTTCTTATTATTTTTTATTTCTTCTTAATGTTTTTACCTCTCTTCTCCTTCTGGTATACACATTATGCGTATTATAAATAACTTTTGTGGTTTTTCCACAGTTCTTTGGTATTCTGGTTTTTTAAGTCTTTGCTTTTTGGTTTTAGAGCATACTATTGATATATCCTCAAGTTCTGAGATTCTATCCTCAGCTATGTCCAGTTTGCTAATAATTCCA